TTAAAGCGTCGCTGTTGTGCAGCTACATCCGCTGTTGTTCAGGTACCTAACAGAAAGGGCTGACAATGAGTCGGATGGAAGGGGAATAAATACTCCCAAACATGCTCAGTATGGTGCCAAAAATACTATTTTGAAGTGATATGACTCATAGGTTTATATTAAAAAATTAATAAGCAAGTAGGATAGTTTGATCAAACTGTATTTGAGGAGTTTTTTGCTTTTTGTGTGACGTTTGTGAAGTTATGGTCACTTCATAATCTCCCTTATCAGTAGCCCACACGTCAATTAGAAACAAAATTGACTTAATAAGCTGGAAGCATCAGTTCTGCTATCAATTCACCAACATTAGCTATGAAATACTGTATATCATACAATAGGGCCAATTATTTATCATAAATAAAATTAAAGATGTGATCAATTAAAAAGAAGAAAATTACACTGTTTGTGTAATGTCTGAGATTATTAATTGGAACTTTTTCCAAGGGAAAGGGATATCACCTCATTTATGAATACAATTGCTCAAAGTACAGTAGCCCTGCAAGAAATGTTACATTTGTGATTAAAACACTATTTATTTATTTGATAGAATAGAATATGGAGGAATGAAACCCTCTTTAATGGTCACACATGCAGAGCACACAGCACACACAGGGACATTTGGCCTCTGATTTTAACCCATTTTAGTACTAGGAGTCTAGTACTAGATACAAACTATATGCAATATTCCATACTACTTTCCTCTTTACCCGCGGCCTGCTTATGTTTGTGTGTATATTTTCACTCCAGTATTTGCATTCCTTGCAGCCCATTTGGTCTATGCTAATGGAGTCTACTCAAGCAGAGCAGCAGGTCTTAATGAAAAACCTTTGGCTGGTGATCAGTGCTATTGATCAGGCTGAGCCCCAGCTTTAAGCAGGGCTAATTGATCAATCACCACTGGTTGCTTCGGATTAATGGAACATGACTGGTGCTCCCCTCAAGACATATCCACCTCTCATGAAAGGGCCTGACTGAGTTTACTGTGTGTGTGAGATATAATCACTTACATCGTGCATATGTTTATGTGCATGCAGTATAGTGAGAGAGAGGGAACAGCCCTAGATTAGAGTTTTATGAATGACAAAGTGTGGTATTTTACCATTAGTGTTTTTGTCAACAATACAAATGTCCTTTGATAATTTGTTTAAGGAATGAGTTTAATGTAAAATGACATTTCAGACATCAGTGTGTTTGTGGTTGTGTTTGACATCTTAAAGTCAATGACAGACAGGTCTGAAAGTGTGTGGGTGAAGAAATCCCTCCAGTGTGGTATGGGGACATTTTGATCAGCAGTGTGTAAAAAATACAATAAAACATGCCCCACCTTGGTTTAAAGAGCTGCTTACTTCTTCCAGAAGACATTTTAAATGACTATTTTATATTCAGAAAGCTTTTGAATTCAGTCCAGCCTAAAAGCAGTTTTAGATAATTTTTCATATTGGCAGAATTATGATAAATATATAAAACATTTTCGATGTTCAAAATGTATAAAGTTTTGTAAATGTTAAGTGTCTTGCTGGTTCCATAGCTGCTAGACATGACACCAGCTATCCCGCGGTCAGGATGAACTGAGGCACACAGGCCAAAACAGGAAGTCCTAATAACACGCACACACACACACACACACACACACACACACACACACACACACACACACACACACACACACACACACACACACACACACACACACACATGTATACACACACCCTGCCATTGAATGACTGACATGCTGGCTGACTAGTGGTGGTTCCACGGAGGATTTGTGTCTGTATATGTGTTTGGGGGGTGGATGGAAGGTTCCAGCTGGCCTGTCATGGGACTCCCTATAGCGTGTGAATGGTGCTCAGAGGGAGCTATGGCTAACGGATCCAACACTGAAACACTCAACAGGCTAGTGGAAAGTTCAACTGGGGTGAACCCAGGAGTGCAAAACCAAGAATATTGTTTTCATGTTCCCTTCAACAGATAGAAAGTACCTATTGACTATTCATTTGTCTAATTTAAATTACAAAAAATCATTATAAGGACTGAAAAAACACTAATGACAATTCCAAAGGGTTTAAGTGCAGATCAAATAGACAGATAAACTGAGAAATATGTTCCACAGTATAGTTTTATTCTGTTATTATTATTATTATTATTATTATTATTATGATATTGTTATTTTTATTCTAATGTCCTGAAATGTTTGTCCCTGAAGTCCATCTATTAAAATGATGAAAGACAAATTACTTTATAAAGTAGACACTTTATAAACAAAGTTAGGATATTCATGTCATATTTTTATCTATATAGGTAAAGATGCATCATTAATTACATTATTAATAAAACACACCTGAATTAATCTACTTAAAACTTTGAAATGATTGCATCGGATAATGTAACCTTTAATTGTATTGGTTGCATATTTATTAATAGACATATTATTATCAATAATGCCATAAATTAGATAAGGTATTATATCGTGACAAGCCCAACGCGCTGAAACACATACAAACTGACATCATCAATACAAGTAAACAATTGTTGTCACATTTCAGCCGATGAAGAACATAATTCAAAAGTGTTCTTTTTATATTGAATCATCAGTTTAAACAATTGATGTCTGCCCATTTCCCACGTTGACATAAATGATAATGCAGATCCAGTACCCTAACCACAACCACGACAGTCTCAAATAGCAACAAACCAGCCAGAACAAAATCTCCAACTCTGTAACCAGAGGACTGCCCTGGAACGAACACACACACACACACACACACACACACACACACACACACACACACACACACACCTCCTGTCATTTAGTTAACCTTGACCAACTAACCAGCCACACATAAACACTCACACCCTGCTATCCTTTGACTGACTTGCACATTTTGTGGAATGAGACCACACTTCCACCCAATAACCTCTGGTGTGAACTTAATTGTGTATACTCTGGTATTGAGTTTCGGAGCATGCCTGGGTCCCGTAGCGCTCAAAGAGAAACAGACGCGGTGAACTTGACAATGAGTGAGAGAGAGAGAGAGAGATAGGGTGAAAGAGAGAGGGAGCGGGAGACATGGACCACCCAACGGCTGCGAAGAAAAACAAAGCTGGGTGGAGAGCGGAGTCAGCTTCAATCACCTCGGAGGTAGGACAGTTGGACATTGTTGTGTGGTAGCAGTTGGACAAGGGTGAAAGAGGCAGAGGCAAGAAAAGCAGAAAGCTGAAAAGGTCAAAGCTAAATCTGCTGTTTTGTTTGGATTAAGCCTATTTTGGATCCAAATGAGCTGTCATCATCCTTTATTAAGTGAATTATTTGGTTTTCTGATCTTAATGTGGTCAATCATTTGACAGATGTGCTATCAAGGGGGTGTAGCAGTTTTAAACTGAATTAAAACATGTTTATTAATTAGATGTATTAAATGAAAATTAGTTTCTCCTACTGGACTTGATGTTTGTGGCCGGCTTTAAACAACTAGCCATGAATTGGAAAAGCTTCCGTAGGTAAAGTGATAAGCGCATTCACCAACTTTCAGCATTACCACTGATATGCCCTTTTGCTCTTAGTGCATCAAGCTAAAGCCCAAAGGATGCTCAGTTTACTCTCTGGTAAATGAACAAAGACAATATTGTTTAAGTTCTTCATTTACAACAAAAAAATACATATCATTTCACCAAGATAGAAAACAAAATACTTTAGATCTAGCATCAATGAAAGTAACTTGCTCAGGGAGATATGTGGTGATGACGTTCTAATGTTGGCCACCAGGGGGATGAGGATATGCAGAGAGGGATCAGGTAGTTGGAGGCTTCAATTTTTTCAATAGAGAGGCAGTCAGTCATGCACTGGTGAGCGTTGGTAAGGGAGTGTGGGAACTAATCCCTGTAAGTAGTTAAAATGAACTACTTAAAACAAAAACAAAGTACCCCAGTTGCGGGAAAAGTTACCTGATGATGGTTATAATTGAAACAATTAAAAAGCAACTAATTATATCTAAAAATGCAAACACTTCACTAACTAAATTGATAACATTCCAATGAATATAAAAACTCTGAAGGAGCAATCGTTGTGCAGCAAAAAATTGTGGAAAACTGTGTTTTACTTAAAGGTGGGGTATGTAATTTTGGAGAAACCAGCTCGAGTGCGCTACAATTTGAAAATACACAACCGGAAAAAATCTGCCTCTTCCTTCAGACTTCCTTACAGAGCCCCTCCTCCAACACATACAAACATGCAAATGACCAATGAGGGCACGAGATAAGTTTGTGCACAGATGGAAGGCTGACAGGCAGGTAGGCCATCCAATTATTTTAGCCGGGCCGGCTAAAATAAATGGTCGTGCTTTTTACAGTGCTACGGCTTCAACAGATGACATTTTTTTAATGTATTTGCTGTCAAAGCATTTAATATATTCATTGCTATTGGGATGTTAAGAGCATTCCATGGAATATAACAAATAATATAATATATAATATAATAAAAAGTGTTTCTGAAATAAATTGCATACCCCACCTTTAATACAAAATGCACTGCTGAAATTATTTTTGGAAACATTTTACAAATGTTTTTATTTAATTTAATGATGTAATAGTACAAAAGCTTACTATATACAAATAAATGTATATAATTTACTGCAGCATCAAGAGGGAAGAAAAAAGCTGATTGAATGAAACGGTTCTGTACTGACTAGGTGAGAGGATTAACAGACCTGCTGCTGTTGAATGTGTTAACCACCACAGTTATCACTCAGCCCCTGACTTCAGTCTGTTTCTGTCCTGAGGTCAAAGATCAAATGCTGCCTTTGACCCCCTGAGCAGCCCTGTTACCCAACGCTCAAAGTCCCACTGAAGTGACTGATACACCCTGCTGTGTGTGTGTGTGTGTGTGTGTGTGTGTGTGTGTGTGTGTGTGTGTGTGTGTGTGTGTGTGCGCGTGTGTGCTGTGTGTGTGTGTGTAAGGAGTCAGTTACCTTTCTGTGCACATAATGGCCTTTGGAAGTTTGGCTCAAGGGACTCTCTAGTCTCTCTGGAACACAAGGAATGGACAGCTGACCTGAAGACAGACATAAAGACACACACACACACACACACAGACATTTAGTTCTGCCAATAAAGTTTGGCTGAAAAGTAACTGAATACACACATGCACACACGCAAAGACACATGCTTGGAGCAATTCGGTGAGCAGAGGTGAGCATCTTGAAGTCATGTTTCAATGAATACTAATATATAAAATAACTGTATTGAAATATTTGAAGTTAATGAGACATGGCAGAATTGCATGCATATTTAAGAACTCCAATATTTCCCTCTCAAAAATCCTAACATAACATTGTGGGAGTGATTTTTCATATTTGTACTGAATAATGATGCAGGCACAATCCAAGAGAAACATTCAACAGAGGACAGATGTGGTCTTACAGGTTCATTTGCATGTGCTGTATGCCCATAAACACACATCCACTTTCATAATGGCATCAATTAAATGCAGAACTCGATGTTCCTATTTTTTTTTCAGAACCACCATCTAGAAATAGACCACAAATTATACTATAATGTTGGAATATGATTTCCAGACAATGCGGGAGGGAAGGGCTAGTGTGAGCAATTTGACTACTTTGTGTCGTACCTCTTGTCCTACAGCAGCCTAAATGAACTTTCATTAAAGCCTTGAAGAACAATTTTCACATTCAAGACTTTTCCAAGCTTATATTCAATACCTGAAAATATGAACATAGATGAGATAGAATGGCAGGAAAAGAGCGAAACTCTTTTAACAACTAACATAGGTATTTGAGTATTCACAGTTAGATTCATGAGTTAAATAGAAAAACAATGATCCAAGGATTTCTCCACCTTTATGTGACCTATGAGATGCACTGATATGAACAGATCACAGAGGGAACAAGACAGAATCATAACGGATGCTGGAAGTGGAGTATTATAAATTGGAGCCAATTATAGCAGAAAACAAAGAAGGCAAGACAAGCGTGGCTAATGATCATATTCATCAATTGCTGACACTCATTTTACATTTCAGGCAATTAGCCGATGCTTTCATAAGGGGGTTTGTTACAATGACTGAGCAGGTTCTGTGAGGCTTGATAAAGAACACCTGAAATATTTCAGAAGAATTCTGACAAATACAAGGTGAGTTACATATTGGGATGCAAACTTAAAAATTAAGCTAAATGTAATATAGTGTTATTCCTCCACCTTGCATCAGCTAGGTACACATGTTTTGAGGGGTAATCAGACAGGAATCAGGTACTTGGTATTTAGTGATAATGTGTGAGAAGATAATAAGGTTTTAAACAGAAGCATGATTTTAATATTGTAGCCAGCTACTACAGTCAGCTGATGCTATTAGTGAGACTGTGGAACTAGAATGAGATTATGAAGATATCCATTTGTATTTATTCTAAAGTTATATGCAGTTTAATTACTGAAATAACTTACTGTAAAGGGGTTTAATATAGGATATCCTCATATGTCTGATATGGCTTTGTAATTTTCTTTTACAAAGGTTATATTGGGTCAAATCACCACTACAGTAAATCTACACAATTGGTTAAGGATTTTAGTTCAATTACTATGCTAAATTTGGGCTATTTTCTACATGAAATGGTGAATAAACATCTTCGACTTTACATTATTCATGTCTCTAGCAGTGCAACAATCTGTATGTTAAACCTGGAAGTTACCCAGTTAGATATATGGACACAATCTCAGTAGGTATATCATTGTCATGAACCCATCCGCCCCATCTGTCTGTCTACCTGCCTGTCTGTCTCTCTCTCTCCTCTCGCTCGCTGCCTGTCATGTGTGCTCCCCAACAGGCCTCCTGTGTCTGGATTAATCTCTCTGGTTGACTGCTGATCTGAAGGTGGGTCGGACGCCATCAACCAACACCAAAACTAATTTCACTGTGTCACTGCAAGACATCCCCGCCCACGATCCCCACTGTGCCACACACTGCAAAATATCTTCATCTGTCTCTGTCTCATCTACATGGAAGAGGGCAGGAGGGCGGGTGGCTAGTCCGAAGGAGAAAGGTCAGCGCATTGAAGGAGTACATCATTCTGAGGTGTCAGAGTCGCTCTATAGGAGAGCAGATGAAGGGGAGAGGATGGGAGGGAGGGAGAAACAGAAATAATTTTTTTTTATATTTGTCTGGTTATTGGTTTTAAGCCAAAAGTTTGTCGTGGCCTACAGAGTTGGCTTGCATCCACTTTGTGCAAATTAATCATGTATCTGATTCTGTTTTACCATCACGTGTTGTCTTTGATTGTATCTTAATCATAAGAAAACTACACACACACCCATACACATGTTACTCAAGCTATTAATGGTCATTTGGTGGCTTAAAAACACACCAGAGGGTTTATTAAAACACCAGAAGCTAGTAGTCAAACACACACACACACATTTTTTGTCATTCAGCAATGATCACACTATGCGTCCACCACACTTGCTGGCGTCTGGCATGAGGTAAACAGCTTTTAATAGCATCAAACCCACTGCAGTTTGTTTGGGACCATCTGTCCAGTCTATTGTGTTTCTCTGTTGTGGCTCTTTGGAAGCCCATCGTGTGACAGCTGATGTATGGGCTCCTACAAAGCCCCCGGCCAGGCCCTCGGGATCCTGCCATACTGCTTTCTCCCTGTTACTATCAATTCCTTCTTCTTCTCCTTCTCTTTTGTCTACTTATTTTTCTTGTCCTCCGTCTGCTTCACTGATTTTTTTAGAACATGAGATTGCAATCTACAGTCTTTCAGTGATGCTATGTCAGTTTAGGGGTTGGAGTAGGCAAACAAGGAATTGTGTGATAGAAAGGGGTAGGCTAGGGATTAGCATCTAATGTAGAAATGATCCACTGTGTCTCAGAGTCTAGATTATGGTGATTTTATTGAGCAAATAATAATTTGGATTCATTGAGGGAAAATGCAGGGTAAAACCTCAATATAGTTAGACATTTCCATATGTAGCTTTAGAGGGAAGGCATATTAATGCACCTCCCAATTAGTTTGTGGTTTTACATTTGTCCAAAATCTGAAGTTATACATTTTCACAGCATTCTGTAGTCATCACAATGACAAGTGTGAATGGTTAACAAGACAAACAAAAGAAAATGTAGCACTGAATTTATGCCAGATTGCAGTACAAATGTGGGCTAGTTGTGAACTGTGCATTAGCAAGAGTTAACAATTTCCCAGGGTTATTTCAGGACAGACACGTGATGCAGTACAATTGTAGAACAGGTGGAACTTGATTGGAAGGTAACTTCTAAAATACCTTGACAGAAATACATCATGCATCCTACAATGCAAAGATAGTCTGAGCACCACCCACCTACACATTTCTCCGCCCAATTCAGAATATTCTTTTGTTTATAAAAAGAATACCAGTGTCTCAGGTTCATTTGAGAGGTTGAGGGGTACACTTAAGTTCAGGGGTGGGGGTGAAAGCTGGGTTCAGGAAGTTTTCACTCCTTTCTTCCTAGGGTGCCCCTGGCCTCTCAACTACCAGTCAAATGCTGAAAGAAGCCAGATGCAGGCAGGATAATCACCACCTAATAAGAGGCTATATTGAAAGCAGGCTGACGCTCATACGCTACAAGCTTAAAAGGAGTGTGCACCAGCATGCACACATGTACACAGCGGTAGTTGAACACACATGCACACACATAGTGAGGGCAGGTGTAATTATGGTGCACGATGACACACTTCAGAAAGAAGCGATCACTCTCAGTCTTTACACATGTGGACAAGCATGTGTAAAAAAAAAACACACACACATAAACACACAGACACCCACACCATATCATTTTTCCCTCTTTCTGACTTTAGTCCTCTACCACCATCCTAGACAAATGTTAGCAGATGGCGGAAGATATGAATAATTTTGTGATATACCAATTATCAATTTAGAAAGACAGAACAGGATCCCCTATGGTTTGGGATCTGGTTGGTGTATGTTTTAGTGTGACCCTATGAAATAATATGAGGCTAAGCATAGAAACTTTAGTCCTATGCACATGCTAGAAAGTGATGATTCCACTAAACCTTTGGGAGTCTAAATGTTGCTGAAAAAAGCGACACAAAAGATCTTCTTGAGGTTAAACTTTCTATACTGTAACTAGTTCATTAGCCCACAGATTGTTAACAGTTGTGATTTCTTCTTGCTTTTTTTTGTTCGATCCTCATCAAGTATTAAAAGGTCCTTTTTGCTTCCTTTGTATCTTGGAAAATGTTCTGATGAAATCTAGAGTGTATGTTGGCAGAGCTGAAACACAAAATCTCTAACCAGCATTTAATCAGAAGAGAATGGCTGAACATCAACCAGTGTTGGTGGACTATAGCCCAAACTGAAGTCTGCACCAGTTCAAATAAAAATATGGCATAACTTAGGCCCACCGTTCTATGTGTATTACAGCAATGAACATATATTTTTATTATGTGTAACTGCATGTTTTGGGCACAACACTTAGAGGCTGATTTTGGCTGCAACCTTTCGCACTCATGCAGCTTTTCAAATTTAGCAGTGCTTTTACGGGCTATGTAAATGAGCACAGCTGCAGCGTACAACATTTGAGAGTGCAGCTGCTAACAAAAATATTTGTATTTCTCTAAATTGATACATGTAGACTACTTTATATGTCTTTCTTAAAGACATCTTTTCACTTGGCTCTAACCCTATGATGCAGGACAGTACCACTCTAAAATATTTAAGCAAACACTAGAGGCAACAGGTAATAATGTTGGAGGGACTCAGACTGTACTGATAAATATTTCTATATTATTTTACTTTCTTCAGTACAGTGATATAGAAAATTCAATAGAATTTATGCTCTACCCTATCTGGTATAATAATTTGCTTTATTTATTTCCTCCGATGTACCTGGCCTGCAACTAACATAAAGAAATACTTTTATTCAGCTTTTCTCAATGCATTCTTCTGCTGATCTTTGCCTCGTAGACTGATGCGCATGTTGAGTATAAGAGAGTGTGATGTGATGCAGGAATTACTCAAATCTATATTATAAGCTGTGAA